TTATACAAATATATAATAAGGACAATTTGGTCAAATATACATTCCAATAATCTTTTATTCCTTTGACCAAACACGGTAATCTTACATTCCTGCTAAACCAACCAAACACAAAATACAACATTCCCAGTAATCCTATTCCCTGGTAATCTTTTATTCCCACTGGTAATCTTACATTCCGTGAACCAAACGCACCCTGGGTGTAATTCAATTATCCATATAAAACATTCATATAATCCAATATAAATAAAAATTTCATAAAAAACCAATATTAGGCAGTTCATACCGAAAATATTCTCATACTATAAAATAAATAGTAATAAAACATTGTATTTTTAAAAATACGATTTAAAAATATTTTATTTTCAGAACGATTGAAGTTGACTTATCGTAAGTCGTCCTCGTATCATTTTATATAAAAAAACTAGTTGCACTCACATGTTGCCTCATTAGCTGTAATACTTTAGTTGCACTCACTTGTTCCCTCACTAGCTTTAATACTACTACGGATTTAGTCTCGAGTTTAATCATTTTCTTTTAATTCACTTTAAGCTTGCTTTCGGTCGCGATCTACCCATGAATCGATTTTCCAACATATATAATTCCAAACATATATTAGTATTTCAACTAATATACTAAACTCGAATTTACATGATATTCTAAAAATGTTATCAACGTAAGTTCGATAAAGATTTCAGTCACCCACTTGAGAACTAAGTTTAATTCTATCAAATCCTTAAAATATCCTTTATCACAATAATTTCATTAAATTTTTCAATCATTCATTTTTAATCACCATTCAACATTTTTTAAAAATTAAACTCAACATTTCATTAACAGTTAAATTAATCCTTTGGTGATCACTTAATCCAAATCAACCATCACATTTAACCAATTTCACAATACTTTCAAACAATATTTCAACATTGCCAAGTTCTCATTTCATCGCTAATCTTTCCAAAACGTGCAACTTGATCCCTAAGATTTATTTAAATTCAAAATCAATTCAATACAACATTCCATGTTAATCTAGATGCAACATTTCATCAATCCAACCATAATTTCCAGCATGGTATTATAGTTTTCCAACAATTGCCTATTAACCTTTCACTTTTCAAACCATGCAAAATAGTCCTTAAAGCCCAACAAAGTTCCGATTTGATCCAAAACACAATTTACAAGCATCTAAGATCATTCTAAACCATTCACTTATCAAACTAACAAATTTTTAACATCTCTCCATAATACCCTATCATAGCCAAAACTTTCAATTAAGTCTCCTAATCATTTCCAATCAATTTTCATACTTGTTATACTTCCATAACACTCCTAATGTTAGATTACAACCTTATATCAATCAAATTCAACTTTCTCTTCAACCACCATAAATACCCACTTCATCATTTAAGCATAAAACAATGAAATACTTATACCAATTTGGAAAACCTTGCTCACCTTGGCTATGGAGTCACGACATAATGGAGAAGATGGGGGGATAATTCTTGAGTTTTCCATACAAATATATCTTAATTTATCTTAAAAAACCAATTAAAATTTTATTTTAGCCCAAAAGTCAAAATTAACCTTAATGAATCATAATTTTTACCACTGTGTCATCCTTTTATCTCCATTTTAATATCATTAAATAAATATAAAAATATAATTTATCAATTTTCATCTTTACCCTTCCATTTTTTTCAAAAATTCAATTTAGTCACTAAATTTTACTATTCCACTTTAACATGGAAATTCATCAAAACTCCACTAATTCACATCAAATTATACTAACTAAAAATATCAATAAAATTTTTCTAACCTCAAACTTCCTTCCTTCGAATTTTTTAAGCTTCCGATTCAATCCAATTATCCAAATATTTTACCGTACTCTATTATTTAATAAACTTTTATACCAACTTCAAATCAAAATTCTAAAACCCACTAAAATTATATTATTGGGCTTAACTAATCAGTTAAAGACCCAATATATAACTTTTAAAAAATTACATTTTAGTCCCTAAATGTTTACAAATTTATGCTTTGATCCATATACTTTCAAAATTTACTTTCAGTCACCAGTCCAAAATTTAGGATATTACATATCATTATGAAATGTTTAAATATTTATCTTCTTATTTTGTAACGAGTCTTAGATGACTCAATTAAGAATTTGACGATGATGGAGTTGAATTATAGAGTCGGCAAAATTTGAAAAACCAATTAGTAAATAGTGAAGAGATAATTGAAATTAGATAATAAATAAACATTTGGGGAATCTAACCCAAGTCAAATCCCTTAATGGTGCACAATCCCCTTGAAGAGATTTGGTGTGAGTTCGAGTCTCTATAAATGCTCTTTGCTCTTGGATTGTGTCATCAAGTCCCTCAATTTTTTTTGATTGTATAATTGAGATTTTAGTTAGAGTCATATCATAATCAGGTCATCACGTAATATCTCGGTGAATAAATCACAATAAATGTTCTATGTCCTACATGATTTTTGGATCGTACCATTTCTCTTTCTTGAGACGTTATATGGAACCCGTTACATGAGTGGAAAGACAAAATCTTAAACATTTAATAGTGGTGTTGTCTCGAGAGTATAAAACTTTTGTGTGTGTGTGGAAAGGTTTATTGTAAAGAGCATACATTTGATAACAAAAGTTTAATCTCCAAATAATCTTGATGCTCGAATTTAAATTTTCAATGAATAATAATAATTTATTTATTATCAAAATCGATCTCATTCATTACTTTAACCAAGCTTGAAGTTTTTGTCGAGTCTCTCTGTTATAAGTATTGTATTAATTTAATACATATATTATTAAATAGATCGATTTAATTCCTTTATTATAGAGATTGATTTAAATTAGTTATTTTTTAAACAGATCAATTTTAAAAAAAGCAAATAAGATCAATTTTTCTACAAAGTAAATATTTACTGTTTAGAAAGTGTTTAAATTGATCAATTTAATGCATCTATTACAGGAACCGGTTAAAATCGATCCCTTTGTTATTGAGGTTGGTGGTGGTGATGTAAAATAATCTTTTAAACATATACTCTTAAAATAATTAAAGATAAGACTTATACGTATGTACTACGGGTGGTGCTTGACTTTCAATTTGTGCCAATATTAGTCCTTAATATGTCTTGTACGTATTAAAAACATTAATATATACACACGTACGAGTGATGTGAGGGCTTACCGAACAGGATTTTCTCAAAATTGCTTTCAGTCCTTTTTACATTGGAACAGAAAATTCAGAAACAAATGGGAATTATCAACCAATGCTCTCTCTCTCTCTCTAATCAGTGCATGTCCATGTCACCGGCCATGCACATACACTCATATATTATTATTATTATTATACATTAAAAAGAAGGGTTTTTTAGAAAATATATTATATATTATGTCACCTGTTTGAACATTAATGTCTGCATGTTTAAAGTTAAGAAAGGTCATTGTTCTTTATCATGCAACATGGATATCATCTAGACATTGTAGATCAATGGCTTGTCTTTTCTATTTTCAAGACCTGTCTTTTTTATCATGACAATGCCTGCATAAATCTTAGTTTTATGGCGAAGAAGCTTTCTCTGATAGAGTTGTTATTGCACCGTAATTTATCACTCAATCAATCGATAGTTTTCTGTTAATTAAGAATAGAATAGATTTGATAAACACTAATAACTCTCGTATGAAGTATTAGAATAAAAAACCTCTATTAAATAATAAATTACTTTGAAGTCATATCCGACACTATGAATCAAAATATTTTTTTTATATATTCTTAATGAATTATCCGACACTAATAACTCGATTTGATCTAATTGAGTCATTTTTTTAAAAAAAATGTGTTCGGGTCGAGTTTTTTAAAGGTTATGTTCGGGTTGAGTCTGGTTCGAGTTTAGGAAAAAATACCCAACCCGAAAAATACAATTTTACATTAAATATTTAGGGATAATTATAATAACACCCCTCTATATATTATATTTTGCAATTAAATCTCTATTTTTATTGGATAAAAATAATATTTTTAATAAATATATTATTTTAGGTCGGATCGGGTAGAGTTATGATTTTATCTCAAAAAATTGGGTTGGGTAGAGGATGTATAACTTTTTGGTCGGATTGACTAGAAACCCGACCCATGCCCATCCCTATTTGAAAGCTGAGAAATTCTTTTGGCATGTCTTCATCTATAAAGATTTCCCGATATGAAAACAGAAAGATAAAATATTGATATTTGAATAAGAAAAAGAGTATAACCACACACATAGCAGCAAATTCATAAATATTTTTGAGTCTGGATATATATATATATATATATTAACAACATAAAATTTTTGTACGGAATGTACACAAATAAAATTTTGAGGATGGATACAATCAATCAAATAAGTAACTATTAAAAAAAATAAGACTTCAGGATAGAGACTCCCACACCCTCACGCCTTAGTAGACCTACAGGATCCAAAATAAATTAGCTTATTCTAAAAAAGATATTATTTTATTCAGTAATAAATAAATAAATAAATAAATTTAGATAATAATTTAATTTCGATTTGACACATATTTAAATATAAATATAAAAATATTTATATCTAGCACTTGCCTAAAACGCAAGCAATAGGATGGGTCAGCCCAACTGGTTTAATTTTGGGAGTATTTCACTTTTAGGCCAAGGCCCAATATTAGTAAATAAAAGTGGATTTCTCATGAGCCTCTAGGTGAGGCCCATGTTTCATGAATGGCATTATAATACCTCTGGTGCATGATCGAGGATTATCTTAGTAAATAAATGTCGAGATTATGAATTTGTCATGTATTTATTTTTATAATAATTATTTTTCATTATAATTAAATTAAATCAAAAGAATACACTAACCAGAGTATATAATCAACGTGTTAAAAATGGAATTATACTTTCTACTATTTTACAAGGATTTGATTTTCAATAATAAAAACTTGTGGTTGGTATAGTTTTCACTCTGTTCATCCTCCAGTTCCTACCAACAAAACCAGAAACAACAATTCGTAGGAAAAGGAATTCCCTGGTTGGAACACTGCCAGTTTTTCTTTTCCCCGCCAAAGAAGTAAACCAAAAGATTTAATCAATGTTATCTCACTCTCTGTTTCACTACTCACCCCCTTCAATCAGCAAACCCAAGTCCCCAATTTTATTCTTTAAATCCCAGTTTCCCCCTCTTAATCCCTATCAAAATCGAGTTTTCCCTCACTTTTTCACCAAAAGAATTTCTGGGTATCCAATAAAATCTCCTGCCTTTTCTTCTTCTTCTTTGGGGGACGAGTTTGACGTAGAATTAGGCAGTCTTTTGGCACTGTTGCCAGAGGAGATGAGAAGGAAAATCAGTGAACATGAAGAACTAAGAGAGTTGATTGAAGTGGTTATGGATATAGGGAGGAAACCTTTGGCTAGATTTCCTTCTGGGGATTTTGAATTATCTGATTGCCCGATCACAGTTCAGGATATTGAGCACGCTACTTCACAGGTGATTCATTTATTCTTCTTCTTTTTTTGCTTGTTTGCACTTTATATATTAGTGTTTCTATATGCATTTTGTCAAATTATCCTGGGAATATTTGAATTTTCTATAGGTTGAAGTTCATTTAATTTTGAGATGCTAAAAAAGTTTGATAATTTCGAATTACAATGTTGCTTTCGAAGCATTTTGTCAAATTATCCTGGGAATATTTGAAATTTCTATAGGTTGAAGTTCATTTAATTTTGAGATGCTAAAAAAGCTTGATAATTTCGAATTAGTATGTTGCTTTCGAAGCATTAATAGACTGAGTACCAATAATCCTGTTTTTTAAATCATAATTTACTTGTATCCTTTTAACAATCTTACTTGAACTAGGACCTCTTTCATTTCGCTAGAGCTTGGATTATACCTTATTTTTGTTATGAGAAGTCTGTTTGCTGATTATTTGTACCGCGAATTGCAGGTTGGGGACTTTGCCATCGATAACCGAGCAGGCATCAGTCTAACATTACATCGCATTAGTGCAATCAGGAACCGAAAAGGAGCAATTATTGGTTTAACTTGTCGTGTTGGTAGGGCAATATCAGGCAGTGCTGATTTATTGAGAGATTTAGTTCAAGATGGGGCTTCTTTACTTCTCATTGGTCCTCCGGGGGTGGGTAAAACAACCATTATTAGGTTAGCTATTTCTATCTCTGGTTTATTTGATAAGGTTGCATGACTATGATTGCCTTCCTCCATTCTTATTCTTAGTCTCTAGCAATGTTGAGCGCCGGGATTTCAAATGCTCATTTTTAACTAGTAGTATCTCTTTACTCAATAGAATCCTCTAAATTTTTTAAAAGAAAAATGGACATATTAACGTATCCTGCTGAAGTAAGATACAGAGACGAGTCGAGTAGATTTGTTCCTTTCCTTGAATATTTTTGCTATCAGTGGCTGTTTTAAAGATTACAAATATTTCGACTGCAGTTATTGTTATTAGATTACAAATGGCTTTCAAATTTTTTGACTCAGTGAATGTCTTTGTAGATATTAGGCTTTCTTTTTTTGTCTTAATGCCTAGCAAAAGCCAAAATGCATTTTCATCTATGCTCTTACCCTTGTCTGATCAGTTGAATGTATGCTTTTGTTGTTTGAATATACCTTCTGTTTCAAAACCTACAGTTTCGTCTACTCATGGAGGAATCTTTCTGATGGTATTGCTAGGGTAACCTGAATTTCGAAAAAAAATGGCAGGGATATAGCAAGGATGCTTGCAAATGATTACAAGAAACGTGTGATGATTGTTGACACCTCCAATGAGATAGGTGGGGATGGTGATATACCTCATGCTGGAATTGGTAACGCGCGGAGAATGCAAGTCCCCGACTCTGATATGCAACATAAGGTATGAGATGGAACTAAATGATCTCAATTCTCATATAATCTCTGGTTACGTATAGAATAATATTTGTTTGAAGTGATGGACTTATGGTGTGTTTGCTAAGATAACTTTCGTGGTTCAAAACTTTTCCTACTTTACATCCTGGGTAATCAAGAATTTCTCCATCTGTGATCACAAACATATTCGTAGGTAAAATATAAATCTTTTCTGTTGGGACTTCGGTTTCCTAGCAATTATATAGGAGCTCACATCACACATGCATAAATTTAGATGACCTGCCATTCATATATGTAATATCAATAATGTCTGTCTACTACCGTTTTAGAATTTTTCTTCAGATCATTTCACTTTTTGCTTCAAGTTTGTCATGTACTTTGTCACTTCTTTTCCGTAACAGGACCTACAGATGCATCTTCCCCCAAAGTTAATTTTAGAATTTATATAATGCAGGTATTGATAGAAGCAGTTGAAAATCATATGCCACAAGTTATCGTGATTGATGAAATTGGGACAAAACTTGAGGCAATGGCTGCATGCACAATTGCACAACGTGGAATTCAGCTAGTTGCTACTGCTCATGGAGTAACCATTGAGAACTTGATTATGAATCCTTCGTTGGAGATCCTTATCGGTGGAATACAGGTGAGATAGTTGTACTAATACCCGTTTCCATTATTTACTGAACACGCAGGGTTTACTGGCATCATTGTCCTGAAGCTTTTCAAAATGCTTAGTGCAGGGTTGAGTGCACTACTGGGGTAATGTTTAGAAAGATGATGCAACATCTTTTGAAAAACCCTAATCTTTCCTTGTCTTTTGAATCCTATTCTAACAAATTTTAATGTGAAATCTTTCCACGGTAAAGCTGCGATATGCTTAAGTTCGGCATGTGGGTATAAAATGATAAACAAGCAAAGGTGCATTTTGCATGTGATCTCAGCGTCCAGTGAGCTTATGATTTTGTTATTCCCTGCTGTTATTATTGAACATGAATTTTGGTGACTAACCGTATTCTTGTAGTGTTGTTCTTTCTCATTTCATTCAGGCCGAGATATTTCTATGTTCTCATAATTTTTTTTCTTGAAATATGAACCCCTTCAATCTTTATCGCAATTGAGAATATAATTCTTCCTAGTTTCACTAAATACATGGTTATACAGAGTGTGACTCTAGGGGATGAAGAAGCAAACCGAAGGGGTGTGCAGAAGACTGTGCTGGAGAGGAAAGGGCCATCAACATTTAGTTGTGGTGTAGAGATTGTTTCTAAGACTGAGTTACGTGTTCATCGTTGCCTTGAAGCAACAGTTGATGCTGTTCTTTCCGGTGCATTTCCTTTTTTTGCTTAGTGCCTACTTTGAAAAAAATCAAACCGGGTGATCCATGATATTTTATGACATTAGCTTCTTATCTGTTGTGAAGGTCGTTTTCCACGTGTTGAAATCCGCAAGATGAATTCTCGGAGTCTGGAACAGATCTCTCAGACTTTTACCGAGGTCCCCTCCTGCACAGAAGATTCAGTAGTCACTGGAGATCTTTTAGAGGCTAGCGATCAGAACATTGTCGGTAATCATTTCCCTTCTGAGCTTTCATCAAACACGGCTGACGATTCATTGGAAGACAGGGATTTACTTTGTATGTATGTCTACGGGGTAAGAGGTCTTGACATCATACGCTGCGATGTTCATTTGTAACTTAAGATTATGTTTAGGCAGTTTATGAAGTTAACTTGTGTTTTCAGTATTCGAGTTTGGTTCGTGATATTCAGTTAAATCTCAGTTTTATGATTATCTAGATAGAACCTAGGTGTTAATGGATTCGAATTTAACTCAAAATCATTCTCAATAGATGCGATCTTAGTTAAAACTTTCTTTGATCCAATCGTCGATAGTTATCATAGTTATAAATAGTACACATGGAACTTACAGAATGAGCAGTTATTCTAGATCCAGGAGGCGAGTGTGATACAAGGACTTGAGAAGTTAAAAATGGATGCCGCAGTTCGATTAACCGATAATATCAGTGAGGCAGATGTACTATTTGCTCTGCTTTCGAAGCTCAGGAAGAACTCCGGTATTCAGGCTGCAGCAAAATCGCATCGCATACCCGTCTATGTGGCGAAGGTGAATAACTTCTTTTTTAGCATTAATTAACTTTCTTATCATGAACTTTCGATAAATCATTCGCTCTCTTTTTTAATCTCTTGTTGCAGACAAGCTCATCGATGCAGATAACAAATGCCTTAGAGTTACTAAAAGATGATTATCCTGGGGGATTGAAGAATCCCGGATCAGAAGATGATATCAATATTCTGGAGAAGCTTGATGCCTTGGAGGTAATGACTAATATTGTTGTAATCCCAATTGACTCGCTTTGATTGCATTAATCAAGTTTCCTACGTTTCAGGAAGCAAGAATAGCCATTGAACAAGTAGTAATCCCGAGAGCCGAATCCGTCGAACTACTTCCGAGGCCGCCACAGATTGTATCTCTACAGATCGAGCTCATTCAAAAATACCAACTTCAGTCGGAGAAAGTCGGCAAAGGTTCAGATGTACGGTTACGTATTCTCCCATTTCAATCGGTAAAAGACGACAGCGATAGCTCCGGTGAGGATGTTGATGCGAACGAGTATGAAAATTTAGATAACTACGGCGCAAATGGTTCCTCATACAGCGTGGATAGGTTGCCTTTTCTGCCTGATTAGTCATTCACTGTGTTATAATTTCCAAATCTCGTGCTTAATTATGTATATATTTATTACCTTATCTATACAGAGGTATTAGGGTTTGTGGATAGTCTTTTGAATTGTCAGAAATATTATTAGATGCGTGCATAATTGATTCGAATAACTTATAATGTTTTCTAATTATTTCTTTGGATGTAAAATTCTTAAGTTTTAATTAATCCAGTAAAAGTGTTGATTATATAAATATATGATAATGAAAGTACGTTTAATATGTATACATATATGTCATAAAAATATATGGCATGTGTACTGATGGTTGATATGTACATGAAATTAAAAGTATGCTAAATTTGCGAATTCTACCATTTGAGTATGCTTAATTTGTTTTTATGCGTATATGTTACATGTATATTTTTTTATATAAAATATAATAATTTGATAGTGTAACTATATGATGTTTGAGTTAAATAATATGTTTTAAATATTCTCCACATGAAAGCATATATGTGTGTATATATGGTATGATTGAAATATGAATTATATATTAAAGTAATTATATATATATGTTTGACATATATAGTATGATTGAAATATGAATTAAATATTAAAATAACTATATATATATATGTTCGACATGTTTATACGTCTACATAATGAGATAAGATTAAATCATAAATATATATAAAAAAAATAAAGTGATTGCAATAACATTTGCGCATGCTTGTATTGTCTTGTGACTTGAGTGGTATGATTCTAACTATAGGATGAATTTCATTATCATTGTGTCTACATGTATATATAAAGTATTCATAAAATTAAAAATGTAAAGAATATTATTATATATATTTTTAATAACTTATTTCTTATGTCCTGTAAAAAAATATCACTTATTGACTTTCTAAAAGTTAATTTTTTTAAAATTTGACTGTGATTATTTTAAATAATTAAATTCTATAAAATATATATTTGAAAAAATTTGATTGAAGGATTTTAAAATATATTTTTACATATTTTTTTATCAATAATAAATTTTAAATAATAATTAGTCAAAATTTAAAGATATTGACAAAAAAATCAATAAGTATCATTTTTTAAGAGATTGACCTTTCTAAAAAAATTAATTAAGTCCTTAAATTTTTTAAAAGAATCAATCAATTAATCCCTTTATTATAATATCATCTATGATGGACTATTACATCAATATTATGAATCATCACGTTAGCATGGTGAAGACATCAATTGTCACATCAATATCATGAATTATCAAATCAACATTATAACGATCAACGATAATTTTCATTAATCAAAGATTCATATTATTAGTCAGAGTTTATATGATTTATTTTCCAAAATTTTGAAGACCGTATATGCAATTAAACCTTAAGAAAATCATTCACGAGGGTGAAGGATGATCACTAATTTATAGTTAATTTTGATGACATTTTTAGTAGTACTTATTACCTCGAAGATCATACATATTAGTACATATAATGAGTACAATTTTGTGGAGAAAAAAAATAATAATATACACTATAAAATTATACTTCAATGTTTGGTAGTGACTAAGGAAATTTATAATAAATAAATATATAAAAGTGAAATTTTAAATATAGATAACCTATTGCGTAAGTCGCAGAGTCGATACCAAAAAGCACCCAATAAATAAAATATCATATAGTACAATGGTTTTATTTATTGGTAATTTAGTTAACTGGTTTGAACTGATCGTGTGTAAATATTATATATTAATCGTACTTAATTTTTTTTATTATTTTAATTGATTTTAACTATAATTATATTCATGCAATGTAAGTTCATTAGTATTTAGAATTCGGATAAACATTAGTAATTAAAAAGTGTGAAGTGGTGATCATAAGCCATAAGCACTAAATAATGTAAAATAATTAATTAAGGTCAAACACATGATTTGGCAAATATAAAATGAAGGTTTGACGTGGTAGTCAAATGAAGCAATATCCAAGCACATGACGACGGATTAGCACCGATGAACTGCGACGGTCGTGAGTTGGAGTTGGCAGTCGACTGATTGGCCGGTCGTGCCCCCATCTTATAGTCCACCATCTCTCATTCTCATCTTCCCCATTTAATGGACCAAACATCTTGTGCCGCTAATGCCATGATACAATTTATTTATTACTTCAATTCCTAAAAACTCAGTCTAAATTTAAAAAATTATTTTAAAAGTTTATAGTTTGAATATTTGTGTATCTGAAAAATCTTCGCTGAGAAATTCACCCACAAAAATCAAGTGTACAACACATGTCGATCTGAATTAATCAAGGTAAACCTTAAAGAACTGAGAATAATATATATATAATTTTAATTATATCTTTGGATTTGTGTCATTGAAAAGATAATGATACTAAAATTGTATCATAATAACATAGATTTAGATGAAAACTCATTTGTCTTTCAATTTTATTTTTTATAAATAAATCACATAACAAAATTTTCAAAATAAATCACACGCTTTAATAATATAATTGAAGAATAGTTAAAAGGAGTGATATTTTTTTTTGAGCTCACGAGTTTGAACTACGTTTACATAGAATGTGTTGTCACTAATTAAGAACAATTATAAACAGATATTACCTTATAATCACTGTAAATTATTCTATATATATATATATTTCCTTTCTTTTACCTACGACAGAAAAGTGCCAAGAATTTAACTATTTTAAACGGAAATTTGACCTTTTTCTGATAAAATTTGCCGTTAGAAGAAGTCATTGAGTGATGATAATATAAAAATTTAAGCCTTTCTCATATGCTTAAGTATGGCCACTGAATTAATGACGAGATTTGTTTGTTTCGTTAGAGCCAAGATTGTACTTATCTGCCAAAATAATCAATAAGCTAAATTCTACTGTTATATAATTTTTAAAAGAGAAAATAATTTTAGTGACCAAAAATCCCATATAATATATAATTTTAATTAATTTTTTTTGAATTTGTCAAAATAACCAACAAAATCGCAATGCGATCGCTAATTCGCAACGCGATCTCCATTATCGCAAATTCGCGTTGCATTTCGCGTTGCGATAGTTGAAAATCGCGTTGCGATGGTCTACAATGTCGTTGCGATTTTCCCAATTCGCAATGCGAATAAGTAAATCGCAACGCGAATTGGAAAAATCGCAATGCGATACTTACTATCGCAATGCGATAATACAAAATCGCAACGAGATACTGACTTTCGCAACACGATAATACATAATCGCAATGCGATTTTCAAAGCGCCATTAGTATCCTGGCCAAGTATTTTATTTTTAAATTCCAAACACAAATATTAATATATTGGAACACTAAACCGTCCACAGTATATCCCGTAATCGCAACTCATAACCTAAAACCTAAAATCACAACTCAGTCCCATCTCCATCTCCATCTCTCACTCTCTCACCCATCTCCGACAAAATCCGTCCCCATCTCCGGCGAAATCCGTCTATCTCCATCTCTCAGAGCCACCCTCACAATCAGAAATAGAAAATCAACCAAATCAACCAACGAGGGTTAGTTTTTTTAATTATTTTCTTTTTGAAAATTTTACATTATTATTAGGTTTTTCATATTGAGATTGATGATAAGTTTACTGGTAATTTCAATAATAGATTAACCATTTCACTTAGATTGCTTATTAAATCAACCGAGAATCGCAACGCGAAATGAAAATCGCAACGCGATTTTAGTTTCGCGTTGCGATTCTCTCGTTGCGATAGTCAAATTCGCGTTGCGATAGTCATTTTCGTGTTGCGATTTTCATTTTCAGAAACTATTCTTCTTCTGCAAATTGAAACTTGAATGAATTGCATTACTTCAACCAAAAAACAAAGACAAATACGAAATTCACAGTGTTGCAAATTTAAGTTTGAAGAATAAACTACTACTCTTTATGTTTATTATTGTTTTTGATATATCTTCACAATGTAGTTTTTGGTATATTTAACTTAGTATGTTTATTGTTTTTGTAGAACTTTTATTCGGCTCAATTGACCTTAAGAAATAAAGTCAGCCTGGCCAAAACAATTGCGTCGAAGCTTTCACCTGCACAAAGAAAAATGTTTGAGGATACAGTCCCAAAAGGTGAAGCCGGTTGTGATTGGGATTTTGAAGATGATTGCGATTTTCAGAATCTCGTTGCGAAAGTCAGAATCTCGTTGCGATTTTGTATTATCTCGTTGCGATAGTCAGTATCGCATTGCGATTTTCCAAATTCGCATTGCGATTTACTTATTCGCATTGCGAATTAGGAAAATCGCAATGCGATACTTACTTTCGCAACGAGATAATACAGAATCGCAATGCGATTTTCAAAGTTCGCAATAGGTTTTAGTTTCGCAACACAAATTTTTTTGTGTATATATCTACGCAGAAGCAACAACTCATAAAATCCCTAAATCGCAACTCATTCCATCTCCATCTATCACTCTCTCCGGTGACATCTGTTCCTATATCCGTTCCTACATCCTTCCCCATCCGACAACAGGTCTTAGTTTCGCAGCTCGTTTGTTTAGTAAATTAATTTACAACCATGAAATCATCTAATGTTGATCATGTTTGAATAGATTTGTGTTTTGGAGGGTCATGGGAGAATGTTCATGGTGTTTTACAATATATGTCTTTACCCATGAATCTTCAACTAAAACTGTCATTAAAAAAGTTAACTTATGAAACTCTAATGTTACGTGTTTCAAAGAAATTGAATTTAGAGCCCCTAAGTGGATTTAGGCTATCTTATCAGAGGAATGGTAAAGTTTATTTGTTAACCGACAATGAAGATGTTGAACGATTCATTGCTTACATTAGTGTTTCAAGTGATGATGTTACATTGTATGTTGTTGAACCTAGAAGTAGTATTGTTGGGTCAGTAGCGGGTAGCAATCAACTAAGTTTTTCTCAAAACCCACAACCTTTCTCTAATCCAAATCCCAATCAACTTTCAGCACCAAATTCCGGTTTTCGTATTGACCAATTAGACGATGATGAGCCAACAGAAAAAATTGTGAGTATTAGTCAGTATTCGAAATTTGATCTTGGTCAATACCCGGACTTTGATATTGGTCAATACTCGGATTTTGATGATGTTTTAGAAGA